CTTATTGTTTCAGAGGAAAACAGGAACACAGTGTACAGTCGAGTCTTAACAGCTTACTCACAGCTGGGCTACACTGCCCATCAGGCTGCATTTTTACAGCTATGTCTGTAACACTGAGCCTATTTTTTTATATTAAATAATTTTTTGAACAATAATTTTTACAAATATTTCTTCACGTCATGAATTAAAGCAAACTATTTATTCACACTGGACAGCTATTTGCTTGCACTTGTATTTATTGTTTAGTAAATAGATATATATGGAAAGCCTGTGATAGACCAGCACAGTCAGCTTTTTGCCCTATCACAGCTGGGATAGGCTCCGTGTCCAGCTGGGCTCTGGTAGCGCACACTGACCAGTGAAATCACCGATGTTTGTGCTCATAAATTAAGGCGTTATTTATGGTGATGATATTATTATGTTAATTAGTCTCGGTTAGTAACTCTGGCCCAAAATGTCCAAGCTGTCACACGTAAGCATTCACAGCTATACCGGTGTCCTCATCACAAGCCTGTGGGCCCCCACCCTACCTCGCTGAAACCTCAGCCACTTACTGCTTCCAGCTTAAGTGGACTCTAATAAAGTTGCTCTTTGATGCATTAATAACTTCTTCCCTTCTGGGCTGCGGGGCCAACTTCCGAACAGCACTCTGCATATCCTTGCCTGACATGCACATCTTTAATTATTTCTTTCTGTGAGGGTTGGATTGAAACGAGGGGAACAGGAAAGTGATGACATATTTCTAATGAATCCTTGAAAAAATAATACTGCTGTCTAAGCTTAAGGCATCCTGAAGAAGCCTTAGTGAGAGAAGTGGAGCACAGAAGAAAGGAGGAGCACTCCAAGTTTTATTATCTGTACTGGTCAGCTGGCTCAATGAGAACTTAGAATGAGAATTATGTTATTAGAAGTCTATCATTCTATTTTATAATTATGCAAATAGAATTCTATAATTCCATTTCAATTCTATTTAATTCTATTTTATTTATACAGCACCAACAACAGCAGTCGCCTCAAGGTGCTTTATAATGTAAGGTAGAATAATACACAATAATACATCCAGAGAACAATCAAATGACCCCCTGTGAGCAAGCACTTTGGTGACGTGGCAAGGAAACGTGCTCAACATCACCCAGCCATCCTGTTTCCCCGGCTGCTTGGGGCAGGCTCCCGGGGGCCAGCTAGCGGGGCCTATGCTGCCTTCGGCTGCACCGGCTACAGGGGCCTGGCTAGCTTCAGGTGTATCAATTCAGTAATCCTGGCCTCCAGAGCTGCAAATATGCTACATTTATTACAGGTATCATTACTGCTAAAGGAGGCCGAGGAGTAACTAGCATCTGACATCAGTCTGCCCCAGAGCAGCTGTGGCTACACCTGTAGCTGCCTCCACCAGTGAGTGAATGTGAGAGTGAATGAATAGTGGAATTGTAAAGCTCTTTGAGGGTCTCGAAAAGCGCTATATAGATGCAGTCCATCATCATCATTATTATTATTATTATTATTATTATTATTATTATTATTATTACAATGAGCAGGAAAGTGCAGGAGGGACAGGTGAAGAGGCCATGCTGCTAGCCAGTCGGCTACGAGCTAAGCTAAGCTAGTGAAACAGTAAAGTTAGGGAGTGAGTACACAGAGAGTGTGCTTCGGATGAAGCACGTGAGGATTATACTATGAAATAAGAAGTTATTTATACACAAAAACACCACTGTGTGTTGGAACAGGAAGTGACACTCCACTACAGAGAGAGACAACACCAAGTCACCATGTCACACATCACATGACCTCTTTTTTATTCTCATACACATCACCTGCCTCCTGCTGTGGATCAACATCAGAGAAACATTTAAAAGTACAGATACACACCTTTCATCGTCTGATGAAAGCGCATATCGTTTGTTTGCACCTCAGTCTCAGTAACCATCATGTAAGTCAGTCTTCATGTTATTGTACCTGAGTTAAATTTGTTTCCACAGTCCTTACACCACTCTCTTTTCCACACTGAGTGGAAATGTATTTGTATCTGTGAGTGAAAACACAAACTGTAGATGAAAAGTATTGTGTTCACAATGCTTTCATACAGGATCTGAGATGCTGTCAGTGTGTCGTCACGTCCCTGTGCGAGTCAGGGAAAGTGGCTTTTACGCCCTATGATAATCTCATTTGCACTTCATAACCGTGTTTCTGTTTTCAGGAAGCATTCTCACTGCTGACAGTAACCCACAGGCTGAGCACTCTTTATCACTCTCAGCTTAAAGTCACTGTTTAAAATCATTATTATTGTGTGTGTGTGTAAAATGTGTGTGTGTGTGTGTTTGTTCTTTTAAAAGTCGCATCCATGAGAGGAAACGGTTTTATTCACATTTCTCATGGTTGCTTTTCTAGAAGGAAAAGCCTC